TAATTATGTGGATGCAGTAGCTCCTGCATTCTCCACACAACTGGAGCAGAAGCTACTGGACAGGAGGTTTATTTCACTTCCCACCCACCCTCCATCCACACAAATAATGCCTGATTACAGCGTTTTATGGGAGTAAAGTGAATATCACACTCAGACATAAGGAGAACTCAACCTCATGCTTCACAACTCAGCAGATTGTCATAAGAGTTTTAAGAGATCCTTCTCTCCCTCCCCCCAGAATATTACTGACTTGGCCTATGGCATTACAGGTGGTAGAATGAACAGAAATGTTTGTTACAGACTGGAGAGCCTGATCATTATGTTGGTTGCATGCACCCCACTTCCATTCACTTCAATAATTGTGCCCCAGGTGTACGTTGGTTGACATTTTACAAATTCCAATTTGTTGAGGAATGTTTCTGTTAAATTTTGTTTGGGGCTAGAGTAGCTCAGGTTTGCATTTCTTGACCAAAAGATGTAGTGAAAATGTGTGCTTAAAGGTATTGATCATTTCTATAGTCCTCTTAAAAGAGCAAAGCGGTGCAGCATGTATTGATTTGGCATTCAGTGAGAGTGTGAAATGAGTAGCCTATCCATATTCTATTTAGCCAATATTCAGCTTGGGAGAAAGCTAGTGAAATTCCTGTTTGATATAGCAGGATTTGCACCTGATTGCACCAGGGTGTACAAAGTTGACATTCACACTGCTTATTTTTTACTTTTCTGTAAGTTACTTTTCTTCCTGCATTCCTCCCCTTAGCGCATTGAGCCTAGCATTTTAGTTTTTCAATTTTCAGGATGGACCATAAATAATAAAAAAATCATAAATGCAATCAACAAACTTTTACACAGGAATTTTGACTGTGATTTATATTTTCATTTAATTTATAAAAGATTGCATTTTTTTTGTAACTTGGCATATCTGAATCAGTTACTGATTCGCTTTATAGCTTCTAGAACTGATAAAATATGATCAGAGCCAGCTATTGCAGCTGTTATAGCAACGGAAAACCCAGAGTATGGACCTGCTGCTCTTTGTGTTATGGGAGGGTTGCAGTTATGTTTGAGAAGGATGCTGTTTAGAGCGTTCTAAATTGTGAAATGTTTGCTATAACAAGTAATCGATTGCTCCTGAGTTTTTGACTCATCAAATCTGAGACCTCATTTATGACCCGATTGTCATACATTTATGTAGAGCCCTGTATCTCTGTGGATATCTGCTGCAGACCATTTTTGTGGATAGTGGTGCAGATACCTCTGTAGGCTCTCCTCCCACTTACGCCTAGCCCCTGCACAAGGGACTGAGTGCCAGCCCTGACTGACTGGTGAGTTCTGACCTGTGGAAGCCCCGCCCCAGCACCTGCTCCAGCCTCACACTCAAATATTAATCCCCACTGCACTTCTGGGGGAGCAGGAAAGTATTATGATGCTCCATTTTACAGATGGGAATGTCACAACCTGGCTTAGGCCATCTTCCTGGACCGAAAAAGTCTTTTGTGATGGAATCCAGCTGCTAAATGCCAGATACTTATCAGCCCTAGCTCTACTCATATTGGAGTAGTGACTGATCACTGATTCTATGTCTAGATTTCTCAGGAGCACTCATAGGTACAGACCCAATGTCTGATAACTTTCTTGGGTGGTGGGACCCCACACTCTGACCACCATAACATCAAAAACAGTTCCATCATTCTCTCAAGTCTTACACCAAACATCCCACACCTAACTTTAGGAGCTGGTTTTCTACTTATCTCCTTCTAGGACCACATGGCAGTAAAGTGTAAAAACATTGATTTAGCAAAGGAGATTATCCAGAAACACTTGACTCTTAAAAAGCCCGAGAGAATAATGGATCTATGGACACCAATGTGTTCCTAAATTGAATCCCTCTCAATGTCTTAACTAGCCTGAGAGTTCTAGGATTGGCCTGTGTCCTAAGGCGAAGCAAGCCTTCTTGGCCCAGCCATCTTACATCTGGCATTGCAATGGCCCTTCCTTTCCTAGACACATATTCCATTTAAAAACAGCTCAGTTTCCTGTTTGCTCAGGTGCTATAGCCTGGTGTTTCTCAACCAGTGGTACGAGTACTCTTAGGGGTACTCGAGAGAAGTCGGGGGGGGGGGGAACGTCAACACAACTGAAATTTGGAGAAAACTGAATTTTTGTTTTAAGTTTTACAGCATTTTATTATTTTTGTACATTTTACACCCAAAAATTATATCGCCCACCCGGCTACAATTAAGTTGTTTAAACAAATGTGTTGCAATGGTAGAAATTTTTTGTGTGTGTCTGAAAACTGTAGATACTGGGGGTACTTATACATTTTTTTTAAAAAAAGGGGTACTTTATAAAAAAAAAAGTTGAAAAACACTGCTATAGCCTGTGTGGGAATGGAAGCCAAGTTTCCAAGGCTTCTGAGTACAGAAACCTTCAAAGTCAACTGCCCAGCTACTAGAAAATCCATGGAGCCAGTAAAGAAGACTCATTTAATGTTGAGGGCCTTGATTGCTCTGATGTGGACTGTGCACTAGGTATAAAACCTCTGCTACAGAATAGATCTTCCAATCCAAGGTGAAGGTTATGCTCATTCACAAAACAAAATGCAATTTACTATCTGAAACAGACGGATCCCTGAATTGTCACAGAGAAAACTGCAGTACCAAATTGAAGTGACTTGATTTCATGAATGTGTTGGCATATGTTATAGATCTGAAGCTTTTGTGCCCATTTATTTGCAAAGGAGGGGCTGAGTGTGAGTATACTACCCAGCAGAGTTAAGAGAAACTTTTAAAAAATTTCTCTAGCAAAAGACCACTTAAGCCCCGGACATAAAAGAAACTAATTAAATTGCTGGGCATATTACTGCTAGCAATAAACACCTTGTCACAAGAATTTCACATCTGCAAGAAGACCTATTTTATCATGCAACCATGAATGTCCTTAAGAAGCCATGGATGCCCCCTAGAAAACTTTGAAAAGCATTCTTTATAGAGGCCATTCTGCTGAAATATCATATATTCTCTTCTCCCAGCTTATTTTTTATTACCAGATAAATAACCCTTGATAAAAACAGGATCTTAGTTTTTAAGAGTTTATCTGTTTCTGCTGTTAATTCCTTATTTGAAGTCCTAATCAGCATGTGACATCACAAATAGTTTCTTTAGAGGTTGTTGTGTCACAATGATTGTGACTTCAGGTGGGAAAATTAGCAGAAGGAGCAGATGAAAGGTTACATAATTATACTGTTTTCATGCTAACTACCTTAAGAATATAAACAAGATGTACACCATATGGTGTGGTAATTTTTTAAATAAACTAACCTAAATCCCATGTTCCCTAAGTGAAAAGTGGGTGAACTATGTTCACCTGTCTACGCTATAGCAAATTCTCTCTTCCCACTAGAGAAGCAAAATTGTTTTAATGTGAGTCTAATTCAAAGTTTTCTTTTAGTATCTGATATTCAGTAAGGTTTTTGTTAATTTGATAGTTAAATTGCTAATTGGTAGACAAGTAAAGTAGCATTTTAAAATGGTATATATTATAGTTTTTCTTAGCTTTTTGTTGTATGCTACATGTGAGAGTGATTTTGATTTTTGTAGCCTAGGGTAACAGATGTAGAATTTAAGAACCTAAGCATGGTCGTACTGGGTCAGTCTGGCCTAGAATCCTATCTTCCAACAGTGGCCAGTGCCAGATGTCAGAAGGAATGACTAGAATCAGGCACTTAGCAAGTGATCTATGTCCTATTGTCCAGTCCCAGCTTCTATCCTTGTCTCCAGTCATTTTGGCTAATAGCCAAATATCCAATAGGATAGACCTATTCTCCACAAATTTTTCTAATTCTTTTCAAAACTCAGCTATACTTTTGGCCTTCACAACATCACCTAGCATCAAATTGTACACCTTGATCATGTGTTATGTGAACAAGTATTTCCTATGTTCGTTTTAAACCTGCTGCCTGCTAATTTAATTGGGTTACCTCTGGTCCATGTTATGTGAAGGGGTAAATAACACTTTCTTATTCACTTTCTCTAACAATGTGTTACTCTGTGAATCTTGCTGTAGGTGTAAGGCTTATGTAAATCTTTCTGTTAGAGTATCGTCACATAGTGCAGTAAAAAAGTAGGAGTGAACTAATTGCAGAATGCCACCCACTGCCACTTTGATTACAAGGAAACCAAATGGTGAGTTTAATTTTGGTTTTGAGAAAAGAGCAAAGCATTCTGCAGAGCCTCCATTGAATTCCTCCCAACAGGAGAGAACCCTTGCAATACTTTCACATGCATTCTTGGGCAGAACGCATTCTACTATGGAGATACTTTACCTTCCCCCACCACTTCCTCATTTTGAGTGGTGTAATGAAAAGAGTTCTAGAGGGCTCCTTTAGCCTGGCAGCTACTGTGTCAATTAGCAAATATCCTGCATCACTGATTTTAAAATTATTGTGACAGTAGTCCTCTAACTAGTTGCCACATCTTGAACAGTATTAATTCCCAGTTGTCAGGGGAAAATACATGGAACAACAATGAAAAGAGTTTGTATGCATTATTGCTGGGTGCTTCTTCAAAAGCCAACTTAACCCTGTACATCTGTCCCACAAATGTGCTCTAGTTTAAACTGCTGAAATCTATCCTTATTGTCTTACATTGGAAGTAATTCACTTTTGAGCACCTATTGTGGCTATTGCTAATGTTACTACATTGACTCCCCATATTTGAATTGTCAGCAGATTTGTTTGGAGTTTGTTTCTTGTTCCAAGTCACTGATAGATTATGTGGGGACAGTGGACCCTCACAGATGGTAGGAGGAATGTTTAATGCAGCAGCTCTCAACCTTTCCAAACTGTTGTGCCTCTTTTAAAATGCATATTTGTTTCGTGTCCCTCAATTTTCACTTCCCTTAAAAACTACTTGCTTACAAAACCATACCTAAACATGCAAAAGTGTCACAGCACCCTATTACTGTGTAATACCGACTTTCTCATTTTTATCATATAATTATACACTAAATCAACTGGAATATAAATAATGTACTTAAATTTTGGTGTACGGTATATGAAACAGTAAGAATAAATGTATGAAATTTTAGTTTGTAGTGACTTAGCTAGTACTGTCGATGTAGCCTGTTATAAAACTGGGCAAATGTTTAGATGAGATGATGTATGCCCTAAAATACCTCTCCTTATCCCCAGGCATACATGTACCACTGTTTTAATATATAAGGCACTGGACTGGGATTCAAGAAACCAGATTCCAATTCCTACAAACTTGCCCTATAACCTTGCAAGTCACTCAAGCTCTCATGTGCTTCAGTTCTTCATCTGTAAAAGGGGTGGGAGGCTCTATTAGTTTGCATAAGTACATCAGGAGATAGGAAGAAGAGATATTCATAATCTACCAGGACCACGTGGTCCAGAAATGAGAATAATAATCTCCAAAAATCAACAGATTGTCTCTCCTGTTTGTGGCCCTCCACTAATCCTTTACTACTTCCCATGAGGGTACCCGAGGGCTTTGCCAAAGTCTTCTTTCAGTGACTATTTCGCATGCTCCCGTGCAGGAACTCCACTTAAAAATACACATATGTCATGTCAGTGACATTCACCCTGATAGGAGATCACTGTCGCAGCACGGTCTCTTTTTCTAGTTCGTGATCCTGCCACCAACACCTGCCCAAAAGTGCAGTCCATGAGAGGACATTCCCTACGGAAATGTCCCTCTTGGCCACACTGGTAACAGCAGTTCCTTGTTCAGCTACATCGGTGGCATCTCCTGGGAGGAGCTTTGCAACCCATTGGAGGGTCTCCCTCTCCTTGGATATAGGTGTTCCCCATGGGGTCCCTTAGCCAGGTTGCCTTGGATTGCCTCGGTAGCCTAGCGGACTCCTTTGGCTGCGTTGCCTGAGTTTATACAATCATAGAACACTAGAACTAGAAGGGACCTCGAGGTCATCAAGTCCAGTCACCTGCCCTCACGGCAGGACCAAACACTGACTAGACTTCAACTTTGGAAGTCCCAGGGGCCACGGTGATACTCGCAGCACATGCCGAGGGCCGCAACTTAAGTGTGATTGCATATACATGCAAATATATATGCAAAAAGCTTCTTTCACACTGATGGTCATGAATACAAAAATGAAAGCAAGACTATACAACACATAGGCCCCGTTTAAGTCAGCTTTGCTGATATTAATAAAATGCAATATTTACCTGATTTCCACCCAAATGACAGCGCTTCTAATGAGCAATGACAGTCTAGGAATTTAACTACTAAAACGCATATAAACAGAAAACCATTATATTGACTACTTTTTTGTTTTAGGTCCCACCTGCGGGCTGCATACAAATGGGCCACGTGTTGAGTTGCCCTGGTCTAGACTATCTCTGATAGATGTCTGTTTAGCCTGCTCTTAAATATCTCCAGAGATGGAGATTCCACAATCTCCCCAGGCAATTTATTCCTGTGTTTATCCACCCTGATAGTTAGGAATTTTTTCCTAATGTCCAACTCCCTTGCTGCAGTTTAAGCCCATTGCTTCTTGTCCTAGCCTTAGAGGCCAAGGAGAACAATTTGTCTCCCTCCTCCTTGTGACACCCTTTTAGACACTTGAAAACCGCTATCATGTCCCCTCTCAATCTTCTCCTTTCCAAACTAAACAAGCTCAGTTCTTTCAGTCTTCCCTCATAGGTCATGTTCTCTAGATCTTTAATCATTCTTGTTGCTCTTCTCTAGACCGTCTCCAATTTCTCCACGTCTTTCTTTAAATATGGTGCCCAGAATGGACATAATACTCCAGTTGAGGCCTAATCAGTGCAGAGTAGAGTGGAAAAATGACTTCTCGTGTCTTGGTCACAACACTCCTGTTAATGCATCCCTGAATCATGTTTGCTTTTTTACAACAGTGTCACACTGTTGACTCATATTAGCTTGTGGTTCACTATGACCCCTAGATCCCTTTCTTCAATACTCCTTCCTAGAGAGTCACTTCCCATTCTGGCTTGGCATTACACTCCTTCTTGGGAGGGTAGTGCATCCCCATTTACCTCCCTGAGCCCCCTGATTTGCTGCTTTCTCTGTATTCCCAGGCTCCCTGGTTTCTGGTTGGCTTTGCAGGCTCTTCAGCGGTCATGTAGTCATCCCTGAAGGAGATGGCCTTGGTGAGAGTATTACCCATTTTTGTGGAACCCATTTTTTCCCACTCTAAGGCAGGAGCTGCACAAACTGCTCCAGGGCTACCAGTTCGGCTACCTGTGCTGCTGTCCGTTGACCCAGTTTTAGCCACTGCTAGCAGTGATCCCAAATTTGCTGGCCTCTGCTCTGGGCGTGGCTCCCAGTGGATACTATTCCTTTTGCAGCCGTTGGTGGTACAACTCAGGGCTGACCCCAGCTTGGTCTAATATGGCCATTTTAACCTGGGGGTACTCCAGTGCCTCACGGGGTCCGGGTTTTGGTAGGCCATTTGAGCAACCTGGGTCCCTGCCAGCTCCATAAATAGCTCCCAGCTGGCTTTAGCTGCAGTTCATCCAGCTCTTATCAGATCTGCTCATTGGGGTGCACCTGCTTACTTTCACCTCTGCTTTCAGTGTAATGATCTCACCCACCCACGCTACTCTTTCAATTACTTTCCTTCCTTCCTTTTCATTTCATTTCAGGCTAGTTCTTCTTGTTTTATTCTGATCTCATCTCTAAGGATATGGAAGTGTGTGTGTGTGTGTGTGTATATATATATATATATATATATATAGAGAGAGAGAGAGAGAGAGAGAGAGAGAGAGAGAGAGAGTGAGTATGTCTATGTCTGTCTGTGTCTGTGTGTCTCCCCCCCTCTCCCCCCAAAAAAACAAAAAACAATTTTATT